CCGTTACTGTGCAGAAAATATTTTATTTTATCAAGCCAAATACATCAATAACTTTATGGCTTGCCAGCTTTGTATATTACTTGGTGTTTCCATATTTACATTCTCATCTTCTGTTGGAATTTGTTCAACTTTTATAATCTTGATTCTTTATATTTCAGTCTGGATTCCTCTGGAATTTATTGGGTTCAGAGGTCACATGGAGGAGACATTTTTTTCCCCCAGGGACAACTTTGCTGTTCCAACACCATGCACTGAAGGATTCATTTTTCCCATCTGGTTTGAAGCACCATCTTTATCTAATAATCACTTTTCAGAGGCATTTGTCTTTATTTCTATATTCATTTTTATTCAATTGAATAAAATTTCTACTCACGGGTTACTATCCAGGTATTCTGTTAATCGTTGTGAATTATTGTATATTTTTTACTAAAATTCTTTCCCTGGCAGGGAGATGTGGACATTTACTCCTGCTACCTAAGGTCCTAACGACAGACAAAATTATAATTTGACCATAGTTCACCCTGGGGAACCAGTGAGTTTATTGGGTTTACTTACAGCACATGGGTGAGGGGTCATCCTATCAAGGAATGTGAATGACCCCAAAGTAGCACATTGGAAGGTCTTCATCCATCACGATGATAGATTGCCCATAGTGCTACATACAGAGCCCACACCCTTAGTCCTTACATACACGCCCATAGGCCCGCACGATCTGGACCAGGGGTTCTCAACCTTCTTAATGCTGGGACCCTTTCATACAGTTCCTCATGTTGTGGTGACCCCCAAACATAACATTATTTTGTTGTTACTTCATAACTATAATTTTGCTACTGTCATGAATCATAACGTACATATGTGATATGCAGGATATCTGATATGTGACCCCCAAAGAGGTCATAACTCATAGATTGAGAACCACTGATCTAGACAGTGTTTCACTGAGACTCTCTTTCTGGGTGATTCTAGGTTATGTCAAGTTGAAAACTGACCACCACATTCATAATAAAGTTCATGTTATGTAAATGGTTGTTACACTGTATTGTTTAGGAATAATGAGGAGAAAAAAATTTCTCTGGGCTGGGGAGAATAATTCGGTGTGCTCCCTTTGTAAGCACAGGGGCCTGAATTCAATCCTCAGAACCGATATTTTAAAAGCTGGATAGATGGTACACATTGGAGAAGGAGAGACGGGTGGATCCCATCTAGAGTATTTGGCGAGTTCCAGACCAGGGAAAGACCCTGACATGAAGGAAAAATAAAGAGTAGACAGTGTCTGAGGAGCAGCCTATGAGGTTTTCCTCTGGCTTACACACACACACACACACACACACACACACACACACACACACACACGGGGTTGGGAAGAGAGAGATCTATGCAGGTTCAGTAGAAGTACAATTTAAAACTATAAATATCTCCTGTGGCCTGTGGTTGGTGGAGACACAGGGACAGAGCCCTGGACCTGAGGGCTGACAGCAGAAGGTTTTACATACAAAACCTCTAAAGTAAATAATGCTTCCCATAAACGTGTCATCTCTCTAAGTGTTCTGTGGTCGTCGTGACCTAGTTTGTGCTTTATTATTATTATTATTATTATTATTATTATTATTATTATTATTATTATAAAGAGTTTATAAATGTAGTACTCCCCAGCACAGGCACAGTTCATATACATATGCACTTGCCACTCTTCAAGAGATCTTAGGGCTCTCTGTGTAGATGCCGCTGCAGTGGACTCTGCCCCCAGCACAGACACTCCAGTACCATCATACAGTGAGCTCCTTGTACCCAGCCCTGGACTACTTACTTGTCTTCTAGGGCAATGCTCTTCGGTGTTGCTGGTGTTTATACGAGACATAAAAAGAGGGGCTGGGTGGTTCGCTGGCTCGGTTGGCATTGCTGGGCATTGCGGCATATGCCTGCAATACCAGTTCCTGAGATGTGGAGGCAGAAGGATCAGAAGTTCAGAGTTAGCCTCAGGTACATAGTGACTGCTAGGCCAGCCTGGGCCACATGACAGCCTGTCTCAAACAAAATGAAGTTGACTTTATTGTTTAGAACAGTTTTCAGTTTGCATAAGACTTAAACATTATCAAGGGCTGCCCCCTACGCCCCACTCTTCTTTCTTAATCCCTTGCTTGGTTCATTTACTGCAACCATGCTCCGCCTCCTTTGCAGGTTCCTGCTGGAAGGGTTTACTCCCTTAAAAAAAGTCTTTTTAAATGATTGATTCTTTTTAATTATGGGTATCTGTGTGTGTCTGTGTGTGGGTATGTGCACATGAGTGCAAGTGTCCTCAGAGGCCAGAAGAGGGCATCAGATCCCCTGGAGCTGGGGTGGCTGGTGGTTGAGAGCTGTCCAGTGTGAGTGTTGAGAAGTGAACTCTGGTCCTCTGCAAGAGCCATGCCTCTTCTCTCTCTCTCTCTCTCTCTCTCTCTCTCTCTCTCTCTCTCTCTCTCTCTCTTTCTCTCTCTCTCTCCTCTCTTTAGGACCACTCACTGTTGTGACTGTGAAGAGAATCTATGGCTAATACCTATCTAATTGTAAAAATCAATATAATTATCTATGTGATAGCAGAAGAACAAAAGTAGCACCATACATAATTAATGTGCATTTGCCATGATAAATGACCACTCAGGGCTGTACTGGAAGCCGGCAGTACTCAGATGTCTGGATCTACTGATGATTTAGGAGCAGGAGGATGACAAGACTCTAGAATATTATTGGCATTGTTTTTTCTTCATGGTTAGTGTGTTGAGATAAAATATATTCCTAAACACACATGAAATTCCTTGGCCTGGAGCAGGTATACATATGATGGGCACAGATATGCTGACTGCTGACTCAGATGTGGTGAAATGGGACTGCCTTCAGTGTCCCGATTTCCCAATATTAGAAGAGTTCTGTCTTAGTTAGGGTTTCTTTTGCTGCAATGAAACATCATGGCCCAAAAGCAAATTGGGGAGGAACGGGTTAATTTGGTTTACACTTCCATATTGCTGCTCATCACCAAAGGAAGTTTGGACAGGAACTCAAACAGGGCAGGAACCTGGAGGCAGGTGCAGAGGCTATGGAGGCCATGGAGGGGTGCTGCTTACTGGCTTGCTCCCTATGGCTTGCTTAGCCTGCTTTCTTAGAGAACCCAGGACCACCTACCCAGGGATGGTACCACTCACCATAGGCTGGGCCTGGCCCCGTTGATCACTAATTGAGAAAATGCCTACAGCCAGATATCATGGAGGCATTTCCTCACTTGAGGTTCCCTCCTTCCAAATAACTCTAGTTTGTGTGTCAGGTTTACATAAGACTAGCCAGCACAAGTTCCATCTCCCTAGACTTGCATGTGAGTTGTGTTTCTAGAAACGTCTGTGTACATTCAAAAGATGGCAACCTATTTCATGTTCACATATAAAACACAGTTAAAGTTCTAACGTGATTGGAAGCCCCTTTTCACAGAATCGAAGATCCAGGCTGGCTTACATAGCTCCTGTGTGGCCTCAAAGAAAGCACCCGCACTTCTCCAGGATGTCCCCTAGGGGGCGGAGCTGCTGCTAATTGTGCGGTTGCTGAACCGGGGGGGAATGCTTGTGGAACGCGGAGCAAGGTGCCCGACACACGGGTCTCGCTCCAAGAATGCAACTAATATAATCTCCCAGTGAATCGGCAGGGGCTTGTTTTGCAGGGAGCTGGAACATAAAAGGCAGGAGACGCTTACAGCAGCTCTTGCTTCTGAAACCTCTTCCTTGCCTTCCAAGTCCTGACTTGGCTCGAGTACCGAACACGAGGGAGCACGATGAACCCTAGTTTGCTCACCCGCACCTTGACATGTGAGATGATGCTCTGGGTACAAAACCAAGTGAGGAACCAGAACAATGATTCTTCTGTCAGCGGGCCTGCTGAATAGCGAGTGTGTGTGTGTGTGTGTGTGTGTGTGTGTGTGTGTGTGTGTGTGTGTGTTCCAAGACTTCTAGCCAGTTCTCAAGATCAATTGAATCAGAGCAAAGGAGAAATGCTTGTTAAAATAACGAACAAATAAACACAAACAGACAGATTAGAGGTGCGGATGTGGCTCCGTGCTAAAGCCTGTGCTAATAATCCATCCTCCCCGACCCCAGCACCACAGTGAAAAAGAAAATGTGGTTTTTCCAGAAGCAGAATAAGGAGGGAATGGAGAAAAAAAAAGAAAAAAAAAAAAAAAGAAACCCTCGCGCTAAGGTCTGGGCCAACTCTGTCGCAGTCTGTGACATCGACCTCCAGCAGTGCGGAGGTCTGCGTAGTTTTGTTCTTGGTAGCCAGGTGATTCTTTGAGAGCCATTGACAGGACATCCAGTGGAATAACCTGGAGCAACTCCCTCCCCGCAGTCCAGGATGTGAGAGAACAGAGGCCTCTGTACATTTGAAGCATTGTTATCGAGGGCAGCGTCAGAACCAGGGGATAGAAACTGTAAGCGTGTGTGTGTGTGTGTGTGTGTGTGTGTGTGTGTGTGTGTGTGTGTGTGTGTGCACGTGCGCGCGCGCGCCATAGAGCCTAGCAAGCATGGCGTGATTCTTTTTCTTTTGGGAAAAGATGGGGCTGCTGAAATGACCTAGTTCGACGCTTTCAGTTTATAGTCGAAATTATTGTTAAAAGCACACACACACACACACACACACACACACACACACACACACACCCCGAAAGGGGACTGGGATCACTCAGATCTGATCCCAACAGAATATGACCCCCTTTTCATCTCCGGAACCCTGCAGAGACGTTTAAATCCTGCCCTGACTTCCATGATCACCGGCAGAGCAGAAACCAGAAAGGAAGCCGGTTACTCTGGCGAGAAAACGGGGTGGATTCCTCAAAATGAAGAAATTGGCATGCTAGAGCACTCAGATTAAATTCAGAGACTGACATCAACCTATTGATAAAATCTGAACTCTCTAGAGCTCGGATGTGAACGCTATCCGAAGCCGGTTCGCCGGCGGTTCCTCCCGGGCAGGCCCTGTGGACCAGGTCTCGGCTTCATTGGGAAGACCCGCCCCAACGCCCAAGGGTATGAAGTTGTCAGGTCAGAGGTGGAAACATGGATGAAGCACCAGCAGGCAACGGAGTCTTCAGGGGGGACCGATCTTGGATGTCCAGAGAGGGAAATGAGCTGGTGTCGGATGGAAAAGGCCCAGGGATAGTCGCAATGGGGGGAAGCCACTATTCCAACAATACCTCCATCTAAGTTGCTGAAGAGAAATTGGGAAAAGAGGGAAAGCCTTTTAAAGGCAGGGGAGGTATAGGCTTGGGGACAGGTGAATTCTGATACCGGGCTGGGCAGGCGGGGACCGGTGCAGCCCCTGGAGCCTGCTTGGATCCGCTAGAGAAAGAGGGATGAGCTGCGACGCTCTCTCTCCTGCCCACGCGCGCGCGGCCACCGGCTCGGACGACTGCAGAGCAATTAGGGTGGAAGGGTTCCTCCCGGGCACCAATCCGCGACGCGAGTGGGGGGCGCGTCCTCCGCCACGCCCTCGCTCAGCCCTGCGCTAGCCGCAGGCTGGTCCCCACGCCCCCTGACAGTCCCTTGGCTTCCGTGCGCCTGGCCCGTCCCGGGGTCCTCCTCCCTCTCCACCCGCCTCGGTGCATCGATTCCGGTGCCCGGGCTCAACGCCTCGGGGCGGGTCCCTGCCACCCTCACCTGCCCCCGGGGGCGGAGCGCAGCGGCGACAGCGCGGCCCCAGCCTCCGCCACACGCCACGAGCTAGCGGCGGACCTGCCGCTCACCGCGGTCGGGGTGAAGCTCTCTCTCCGCGCCCTCGGTCCCGGTCACTTCGGACTCGTGTCCCTGCCGCGCTCGGCGTCTCCTCGGGGGATCTGCAGCCCCGGCGCCATGGAGCCGGCCCCGGGCAGCGATCGCCGCAGCCCCCCTGGCCCCGGAGTCCCGAGGCCGCCACCGCGGGGCCACGCGCCCTCGACCGCCGCCCCCGCCCCCAGCCCGGCCCCGGCGAGCTCCTCGGTGCAGCCGGACGAGGAGCGGCAGCCGCGGATCAGCGAGAGCGGCCAGTTTAGCGACGGGCTGGAGGATCGAGGTGAGCTGCCACCGCCCCGGGCCCCTTCCCCTCCGCCTCTCGGAAGCCACCTGTCCCCGGTACGCGGGGCTCAGCTCGGAGAGCAGAGGCCACAGTCCCACCTCTCGGGATCCGTGCGGGCCAGGCAGCCGCGCCTCCTGGGACCCCCCTTTCAGGTTCCCGATCCCGGCGGATCCTAGCCCAGCCTTGTCCGGTGTCCGCGGGAAAAGTTTGCAGACAGGGTTTTTGGTAGCTTATAGGGGACCGAGGGGGTTCATCTCCGTGCTGGGAGACATGGGTTTCAATGCATCCCGCCACGCGAGCCCCGCCAGTCACCCGGGGAAACTTCTTTTTGCTTGCTTAGACTGCCCCATAAGGTGGCAGCCAGGGTCCTCTTAGCCTCTGCACTCGCTCGGGCCGGACACTCCCTGAGGTCCTGGGTCATAGCGGTCACCGTCCCACCGTGGTGCTGACAGAGAGGTTGGGGTTTGGGGGCTTCTGGCCGCCAGCCTGGCCTGCACAGATGCTACCCAAAGCTGACACTTCCTGGAGAACGTGAGTCCAGCTCTCAGAGTCCTTCCGTGGACGCTGGCCTTGGACCCGTGCATTGCCTGGAAGGCATCTTCACCTCCCGTCCACGGTCAGTCTCCTTAGGGGGCCTGCATCGAACGCCAGGGCTCCCCCACTCATCCTGCCTGGCTCTCCTTCCCCATCCTGCTCTCGCGGCCCTCGGCTTGGATTCTTTGCGGAGACTGCAATCTACTACACCTTTTCCTCTTTCTTGCTGCTTCCGAATTGGACCCCTCAAAAATTATCAACGGTTCTGCTAAAACCGTGGGTGGCGGATTTGGGGTCTCTGCAGCCAGGCCCTTCCCAGGCAGCCGGCTCTGTACACCTCTACTCATTTTTTTCTTTCTTGGAAGCTTTCATCTGTCGACTGTAGAGTGCTTATATTATTTTAGTTCCAGCAGGTTTCTGTCCTATTCTTAGTACCTTGTACATCTCTATATTCCGGTTTCGTGTTGGGATGCAGGATCTCTTCCTTAGAGATTCCGAATTGTAGCGTGTGAAACAGGATGACATGGAAACAGATTTCCCTGAGAAGCGGCAGAGATGCTGTGTGGGGATCTGGAGCCGCTCCAGCTTGGAACGAGTTCTGCACCCGTGTTGCAGGTTCATTCCTTGTTCCCACAGAACTGGATAGCCTTGGAGACAGGAGAGTGGGTGGCATCGTCAGAAACCCAGAAGAACCTCTCACTTTAATTAAGGGTGTGAGAATTACCTTTAACCCGTAGTAACTCCTATTGCAAGGTTTAAACATTTTGCATTGGAGAAAGACGGAAACCTGGCGTTGGGCTTAATTCTGTAGCATTGCGGGTTATCTGTTAAGAGCCGGTCAGTCTCTCCTAACCCCTGCAGAAGGACAGACAAGAAACCCATGCCAGGATGAATTGATATTTATCAATATCTAGAGGCCATGCTTCAGCGTTAAATTACAACAAAGCACAACAAAACCTCTTCTGAATGCATTCTTTAGGTTTTCTGTCAGTGGTCAAATGAACTTCATTTTCTATTATATTGTCTCCTGAAAGCATTCGCTGTTCATAAACCAGTGCTGTGTGGAAGCTCACTTATCACACACAACCTCTCTGTTAGGATGAATGGTGTCTCCCACAGAACCCAGGGTTCTATGCCATTTTTGAGCTGCTGAAAGTCGCTGTGACATTTCTTTTGTTCCACCCATCCCTGGCCGCAAAGAGTTAATGATAAATGAAGACTCCAGTTAAACAAATCAGAAGCCTCCTGGGAGGTTGGTTGTAATATTTTACATGTTTGTGTCATTTTATCTTTCCTATATCTTTTTTTTCTTTTTTCTTTTTCTTTTTTTTTCTTCTTTTGCTATCTCTTGGGAATGGTTCATGGGTTGTGACCTCCTTCCCACCAGCGACAGGAACTGGGGAAGAGGAACACCCCCTGGTCTCCAGCTCTCCCTGGATGCAGTGGCTTTCTGTAGGCCCAGTCCCCACAGGGTGTGGGGGAGGGGCACTCCTGCTGCACCTTCCATATTATTTTTTTTTTTTTGTGTTGACTTCCTCCTGAGGTGGTAGAACCCTAGGGCAGACCCCTTCTGATTCCTATTGGAGAGTTGCTTTATAACTGATGGTTTGGGATTGTGGGAGGCATTTTCTTCTTAGAAGTGATATGGGCTATTTCTCAGAATTCCAGCGAGCTCAGAATGTCCCAACACTGCTGTGACAGCTGGGTGAGCCTGTGGTTCAGGAAGCAAAGAAGCACTATGTAGTTTAAGACCTTCAGGAACTAACACACACACACACACACAGAGAGAGAGAGAGAGAGAGAGAGAGAGAGAGAGAGAGAGAGAGAGAGAGAGAGAGAGA